AATAGGATTAAGATGACGTGTCCCGGTGAAACGCTCAGAGCCAGGAGACGGACTAAAGCCGGAAGTCTGTAAAATAAAGTCTGGGCAGGTTGACCCAGTATCTGTTGAAGGCTCTGTCACAGTGTTTCCCAAACTTTTTTTCTGGGGACCCATTTTTTAAAAGTCACAAACCTTTCACGATCCAAGTCAATAGACATTATTCATAAATCACAAAATAAAGGTGGATTTGATCATTATTGAACATTAATGAGGATATTTTATTGTTGACTGAGTGATCGTGTCTCTCTGAACAAGTAGTATTTCTCAAGTTTTAAACAATGAAAAACAGTCATTGAACCAGCAACAAAAGGATCCAGAAGTTGCCTATTTGGACATTAAATGCGGCCTGTTTCTTTTTCTTTTCAACATTCAATTGAAGCAGCAAAGTTGGAACAAAATAGTCAATAAAATAATAAAGATTAGAAATTATACAAAACATGTCTTAACATTTGAACATTTCTAATGAGAGAGGTTAGCCAGGTTGGCCCCTCCGCCTTGTGCCTCCGCTCAATTTCTCTCCAGCAACTAGGTCAGGAATCGAAATACACTAGACGGAAGTTGTAGACTACGCACCGGCCAATCAGCGAAGAGCTGTGAAGCCATGACGTCAAACTCAAGCGCCTGTCTGGGTCCCTTTTGTGGAACAACACAACAGTAAACAAAGCGGTCGAGATGGATGTAGATGAAGACATACATTCTGTGTTGGCAACCATTCCTGAGATTGAGGATTTAAAGCCGGAACAAAGAGAATGTTTGTGAATTTTATCAAGGGGAAAGATGTTATCGTCCTTCTTCCTAAGGATTTTGACACATTACATACATCACAACCAAATAGCAGCGACTGATTAAATAAAAAAAGTATCCGCCTACCGTCACGCGAACGAATCCTAATGCTGTGGGGTCAGACAGTTTCCGTGACGTGAAATCGGTTGATGAATCAGGCTAGAGATAGGTGGGCCTCTCTGCGTTTTTGTAGCTCATTCCAGTCAGGGGTGCAGGAGGAGAGCGTAGCATGTATAACAGGCATAGGCAGAACTGTATATTGCAGACCTACATGCAGATCGTGACAAAGCGACCAAAAAAAAATCTCTTGCGACCCACCCGAGGGTCACGGCCCAGTCTTTGGGAAACAATACTCTATCACACCTAAGAAAACTAGAATAGTATCTTCCAAAAATGTTTCTTCCGACTGTGCATTTTAGCCTATTGTGTTTAAAAAAAATAGATTTAAATTAAAAATAAAAGAACATAATTTCAATTTTGCATTTGACACTTTGACATGAACAAAAATTGATTAAGACTAGTACTCCTAACCTAAATCCCTTAATTAAATGGTTACTGATTTATTCTTAATTGACAATTTGTTCATTATTAAGTCTTTGTTCATCCTCTGTTTAGACTTATAATTAAAGTGTTGTTGTTATTAAGTTGGAGCTTGCATTTGCTGCAGTTCCAGGATTTATGAAATATATTTTGCAAAGGGTCACCAGAATTTCAGAATCAAAAACTGGGACACTTTCGGTTTTGGTTTTGGGGTGATTGGTCATCATAAAATTGTGAAACAAGTAGGTAATTAAGGAGATTTGTTACGCACTCGGTGAGTCAGTATAATCACATTTTCTTTGTGTTTTGGTCATTTTTAAGCAGTTTTTCTGTATTTTGCCTCAACAAATGTCAATTTATGCCTCTCTTTACTGTTGGCAGGGATCAAATTTGTCCAAAATAGAAACACCTGGGACATTTGTTGTAAAAAACTGGGACAAATGAATGTTTTTGGATAAATCTGCTGGGACAGGGGACACAGGGCTCAAAACTGGGGACGACTGGTCACCCTAACTCACCATACTAGATTATATTAGTAGGGTTCGTCAACATAAAGAGTATATACAGCCTATTTAGCTTATGTCCCTCTGGCTGAGCTGACTCCACTGTCTGCATGTCACTCATTAGACACTTCCCTCCACCTTTATATCCAATTAACACATTGTTCCCACTGCTCTTGAACTCAGCAAACCTTGGCGCAGGTAAAAGAAGCGCTGCTAAAGTGGGCTCATTAGCTTTAGCTCTGGTGCCCTGGAGCACACTGTGGCAGCTGATCTGTGGCTACACCCTCTCAGATCTACATGTGCTTTCTCTTGATCAGATTATTTCATGTTTTTCCTTTCTTGAATATTTTTGCCGTTGAAAAGGTTGAAGTTAAAACTGCTTCTTTTTCAGTGTTGTTTATGGGACAAAATTAAACATCTCAAATGGATTAGTTCAAGTATCTCGGGGTCTTGTTCACGAGTGAGGGGAGGATGGAGCGTGAGATTGACAGGCGGATCGATGCAGCGTCTGAGTTCGCGAATACAAGCGGCTGAAATGAGTTTCCCCCGCAGGGTGTCTGGGCGCTCCCTTAGAGATAAGGTGAGGAGCTCGGTCACACGGGAGGAGCTCGGAGTAGAGCCGCTGTTCCTCCATGTCGAGAGGAGCCAGAGGTGGCTCGGGCATCTGTTCTGGATGTCTTCTGGGCGTCTCCCTCACCCTTCCTCAGAGTGGTCTTGTGATGTTGTTGTGATGTGTCTGGTCAGCTGATTTAAACAGGTTTTGGTGCTGTCTTTCTACCGGTGGAGGCAGGATGACAGCGCCATCTGCAGTCCAACTTCCTCAGAACAGTATCCCTGGTGTGTGAGAGTAAAAAAGACCCCTTGTCCTGGTTTATAGTTCCGTGGGCACCTCGGGGTCCTGAGGAAGTGCAAGTTAAATCAGCTGATTGGACACGTCACAGCAACATCACATGACCACTCTGAGGAAGACCGCTAATGAGTAGTCGAAACTGTCAGGTATGAAAATAAACTCTTGGTCTGAAAAAATAACCTAATAACATAAAATATCGAAAGACCAAATGAACCTCATTGGACTGTCCAATAGAACTACACATAATAACCATGCTGTAAGGATCCTGTAAAAGCCTTTTTTGGTGATTTAAACTTCATTGAGCTTATTTATATACAATGGAACATATAACATAAGTAAAATCATAATAGAAATAAAAATAACAATAAAAAAAATTAACTATTATTATTTTGCCCAAAAAGGAGTAGGAAAAAGAAAACTTATTTAATCCCACCCCTATATAAATGTAAATCTTTACTTGCCCAAAATAAATGCATAAATAAAAAAATAATAATAAAGAAATAAATAAAAATTGAGCTTATGTTACCTGGACAATGGACTTGTCTTTGCGCCAACAGAGCAAGAGGCTTTTGAGAGGTCAGAGGTGGTGTTCCAGTGGCTAAGGATAGACAATCTCAAACTCAGTCCCAAAAAGTGTCATTTAATAAGTGAATTTCTTGAGCCATATAACAGACAAACACTGTGCTGTGGACCCAGACAACGTAGAGGTCATATCCAAAATGACAAAGCCTGACCCCATGGAAAATGAATGAGGAAAAAATAAAGCTATTCCTGAGTATGGTTCTACTGTTTATCCTGAGTTGTGCGGGAAGAAACAAGGTACAGCCAAACAACTTCAACAAATTGTCTGACGGGACAGACAGAGGACTGTGGAATTACACTGTCCAAACTCAAAGACAGCCTTTTAAACTGTGTTTTATTTATGAAAAACAAGAAGCATGTGTTCTGACATATCTGTGAATAAATAATGTCAGCTTTATATACCTTTGTAATGCACAAATAAAAACATTCTATAAACGTGTATGAAAAGAATATTTTGTGAACTGTGTACATATCCCATTCATACTCTGAGTGTTCAATTAAAATCTGGACATGAACTGTATTGATGTCGTTTGTATTTTAATCGGATTACATTGTAGAGAGAGCGGAAAGCTGGATTCTGAGGTTGGAGCTCTCCGGAAACAAGAGAGCAAATTAATGAATCTGAAAAAGAGGATGCAGATGAAAACTACATCATGAAGAGTACTTTGTTTTACAGCAGCAGAGTCCAGGGCAGAGCTTGGATATGAGCACATCTCTGTTTTACACATGCACTGGCCACACATACACTACCAGTTAAAAGTTTTATAACACCCTAATTTTTCCAGTTATTTATTGCAATTCAAGTCGTGCAAGTCCAATGAAGAGTTTGAAATGGTACAAAGGGAAGAACTGAACAGATAGAGGTTAAAAAAAGATATAAACGATACAAAACACAAGTCCAAGCTCTGCCAAAACTACCTCAGGAAAAAAAGAACAAGATGGGAAAGTTTGAAAACATGAAGTGTTCAGCACAGTCTCCAGACTTAAACCCCATCGAGCTGGTTTGGGATGAACTGGACAGAAGAGTGAAAGCCAAGAAACCGACAAGTGCCACACATTTATGGAAACTTCTGCAACAGACTGGGGAAGAACTTTCTGAAGAATATTTCATTTCTGTTGTAAAAAGAACGAGCCACGAGTGTGTTCAGCTCTTTTATCTGTCAAAGGTGGACACTTTCATGAATCAAAAGTTTAGAATATGTTTTGGTCAACAGTAAACAGTAAAAAAGTGGGAAAAGTGTGGTGTTCTAAAACCTTTTTTGACCAGTAGTTTACGACTGCCCCATCCTCCTCCAGTGACAGTGCTAATGACCTACAGCCTCATTTCTCCTAACCTTTTGAGCCTCTTATTTTCACTGACAACTAAACTAAACACGCACAAGAATAAACCATTGCTAAATTAACAAAAATAACTGCAATCGCTGTGAGTTTTCATGTGTTTCCTCTATTCTACCTTCATTCATTTCTGCTTTCCATCATGATGCGACCTGGTGCAAAGGATCCTGTCACTGACACTAAATGCCATGTCTTTTTGTACTTTTATAATTCATAAAAGATGTACCTTTTGAACACGACTTATTATTCACATATAAAATACTAAAGTTGCTATGATTTACTATCAGTATATAAGAAATGTAAACTATACCTTCACATTGTAAAAATATATAAATGTGTGTGACCCAGTTCAGTTTTGCACAGTACAG